CTATACAACTACCGGTCTAGCAGCTTCAAAAAAAGGCCAGGTGTTACAGAGAGTCTGCTTACGGTCAGCGTGCCATCCAAGAACCGTGGCGCAACATCGGATCAATTTGCAATTGGAGATCGAACGCAAGCAGAGATGAAAACGCGAATAAATGTGCGGTCAGCAGCAAGTTGAACTCTGAAATTGAACCGTATGAGCTGTGTTAATTCGCATTAATTAGCATCTCCCATATCGATGTGTTAGTAGTTGCCTTCAACCTATTTATTGCGCTATGCTCTGATACATTACGAATCCCTCAGTCCGGCAGATCTTGGCCTTCTCTTTTTGTTGCGGGTTGAACCGGTTTGAGGAGGCAAAAGTTTTCTGGCAGGCTATGTGCACATTCAGTGGAAACTGCAACATTGAACGACCACGTAACATTATAAATAGATCTCAGCAGGTCCTACATATGTTTATCCGAAAACCGACTCCAGTTTAAGTTGACGAAACGCATTTTTCTGATTATACACCATCAATATACTCATAAGTATTGACTGGGACAGAAGCAGCTGCAACATGCTACACAGGAAAGCGAAGTCGGAGGAATCCAGTTGGAGAATTTTAGCGGCTCGAATCAGACCTAAAAGGCAGTGACAGGAACTAGTCAGAATATTCGCCACGTACGGTGGGCGTTTTGGCATTTCGGGCCATCAATCTTTCCACAGACCCTGGAAGCCTACATGAGGCCCACGTGTAATGCGCGATCCATGCCTTGCGACGGTGGTGGAAACACGATGCTGCTGAGCTCGAAGTTCCACAACGTAAGGCAACAAAAGCCTTTGGTTGTTTTACCTCACCTACAAACGCATACTGAAAATTCTAGGCTTGCACAGCGGCGAATACCGGCGCCTGCTAGGAAACTTTTGTTATGTTGTACTAACTACTGACTATCCCCATTCACGCCTTAGTGATCTGTTGCAAGTTGGCCACAAGACCAATGTGAGAGGCCACCTGCTCAAACTGACCACGCACCATAGCCGATTTGATTACTGACAAAACGTGTTCTCTTTCCGCATATCCAAAAGATGGAGCTATCTTCCTTCTCACGTTATTTTCACCTCTATATTAACGCTTGTCAAACGACCACTGAACTATACTCTATCCCGTTTACATCACGTGACATGGTCCGTTTCCATCGATAGACAAGTTAACGCAAACAATGGTGTCATCAGCGCTATCCTTAACGATGCGGTGAGTAGACTTGCCTGTACTCAGGTGAATAACTCTGTGAGTCAACTCAAACCTCAATTTCCCATTTTTGTCACTTTTAACAATTATTTCATGATTATAGCTCTGGACATGCTACTGGACTTCGCAAGCAATCTCCTTTTTTCCTGTTATAACTCGTTGTTCTTGGTTAGAATGTTCGAGGTTAAAGTCTAGTTCATTTCGTCAAGAATCGGGATCTTTTTGTGTCAGTCGAATGAGCTTAGATGAAATAGTCTAACCGTTAAGCAGTGTCCCGTTAGTGAACTTGCGGCAACTGCTAAACAGCCTGCAAATCCACCTGTTTCAGTGCCAGGCAGTCCTTCTAATCAAGAAGTTAAGCCACAGGTACAATGTTCACTTTTAATGGTAAAATGCTACAGGAAAATACTGTGAAGCTCTCATGCAGCTTGACAAGAAGTGACATTCAGACATGTTTTTGCATTGATGCGAAAGTACCTGGATGTGTGGAATCCATGAAGTAATACTTAGAACGCAATCACAAATGATCATATGGCTGTCAAACGAAGTTATGGTTGCAATCTCGCTAACACTGAGTCAGACCGCATGGAACCTGATAGCGTTCATATTAAAGAAGGCATTCATTGTCTACTGAAATTGCCACATAACTATGCGCCTAAATAATTGCGAGAATATGGTCGGAATGCTACTTGGTGGGAAGCAAACAAGTTTGTGGATGCAACGACATGACCAATGAAAAGCAAAGGCGAGTAGTGACGTCACAAGTTTTGTTCCGCCTATCGGTGATTTGGCCATTACTACATATTAAATTATATGCTTTTCGAAGCCTGAACTTTATCTAAAATACGCGAACATAGAGTTTGATATCGGCATCCTGCTTAACAGAAGAAGAGGGTCGATCATCATCGCTGGTGTCTGCAAATTTGTTGTGCTGGAGGACTTGACTAAACTCAAAGAACTGCCTCTCCACGGAATATGTTGTACCACGACGCTGCTTTCTGTACTCTCCTCAGACACTCTCAAACAAACTGCTTCCCGAATGAGCATTTAGTGCACAGTACCATGACACTGGCTAGGGACAAGGGAACTACTCTGCTCGGGCAGCCGTAGTCGTCGTGACTAGTAACATGGTAACATGTCTAGCAATTATTGAAACATTATATTTTGCAGTGTAGACGTCAATGTTGGGTTTTGAATCCATCCAGAAGTTATGGCAGCAGATGCTTCGTCACCAAGTCATGCAACAAACATAAACAAAACCCAAGTGCATTGACGTATCATACCACTGAATTGCTTCCCTTTTCTGTCAAAGATCAAAATGTTCCTTGTTATCCACTGCTGTTGGCTGGACGGGTGGATGGTTAGACGATTAATTCACTTTGAACTAATGTGCGTTACGCACTTATCCACAAAGCTTCTTACTATTCCTCTAGCCCCATGTATTTACAGGTTGAATTCTAGCCCTAGTACCAGGTCTTGGTGAATTCACGCTTTTTCGGTAGTCATGCTAGTACTTCTTTTATGTCAGTAGAGAGCCCATCCCTGTTTGTGTTGTACCGAAGCTACGGAAATATTTAAGTTGGCTATACTGATCGAAGTCTGATGCTCAAGGCAGAAACCAATCAACGAACACTTGGGACTAGAAGCGAACTATCAACTACTAAGGGTGAAACGAGAGATGTGTCAAATTCAATAGCAGTTCACCCACTCACCAATAAAAGGATTAAAGAGAAAAATGGAAACCAAATATAGAAACCATATTGTGAGGCAAGTAGAAATTAATTATGTCCAAGTCTTTCGAAATACGGAGAAAAAACGTCATAAAAACGGTCACCCGGGAATATCGTTATCATTCTTATGCAGCATTTAACATGAGTGACGGTATTGCAAGACTCATAAATACGAGATGCCATCGTAAGTGTGCAATCGTTCTCTGAATCGAATAGTGGTAAAATATAAATCCACTATTACAAAGTTCACAGAATGCAACATGGAAAGGGCAATACATCCATTTCGCTAGTTTCGTTCCAATAAGCCAAAAACAAAACCTCATCCGCTTTTTAACGGATTGGGCGAGACGGATACTTAAGTTAGACGTCCTTTCGAAGGACTGGATTTCATTCAGAGCATGTTCGAATGAAATGCATATCCAGATAAGTTCATCCGCCGGTACACGGAGGTACGGACACCAAAAGTGGAACAGGTTTCAGCTGAAAAGCAGTCAGTCTAACTTACGTTACCATTCAAATGTGACATTATTGCAGAAAGTACAGTTCGGAAGCTCTCAAATGTCACAACTAGGACGTTCCCCGCGGCTGACTTACAAGTAATTTTCATCACAAAACCGCTTATAAGGAAACAACTTAAGAACAGGGTGCCACGGTCTGAGATTTTTTCTAGTGTGTACAACTTCTCTTCTTCGTGTCAAGCTTGATATATTTGAAAAAGTACCGGACGTCTGTCCGAAAGTGTTCAGAAACATTGCCCCATCTGGCGCAGCCGTGGTATAAGGGGGGTGATAACGAGTACCATATTGTCGCACCTGATTGATACAAAGCACCAGGGCAAAATGCAAGAGGCTTTTCAGCCCGTCCACCGAATACCTGGACACTGCACGCGAAATGTCATATGCCGTTTACCAGCTAAAGCAGAGGCTATCACTACCCTACTCCCAAACCCAGAGCAATTTGCTCAAAACAAATTCGTACCTGTCATTTAGCTGCCGAGGCCACAACCCGCCCAGACTAACGATGATGAGCACCGTATGCTACTTGATTTGACCTTTAGAGACTGAGCATGTAGTTATATTGATCGGATATTTCGATCCCATTCTTTCATCATTAAATTTAATTAGGGTTTTGTTTAACCCTCATATCGTGGTGTAATGGCCTGAAGATAAACTACTGAAAATGAGCTGGTTCCCTACATCTTACTTTTGAAATCCGAAAAAGTTTTGAACTGCTGCACAGATGTGCCAACACCAGATGATCGAGCAAACTGTTCCACATATTTACCACTCTCCGTTCAAAACACATTGGGTGAAGAAATTGCTTCACATCCGGCGTCACAAGTTCATATCTGTGTCCGCGTGTGCTGCATGGCCCTCGAAATGCAGCATTGACCTCAGTATGGGGAATTCACCGATATGTAGAATACGTTGGGTCATACTGAGGTGGACCCCACCCTACGGAAGGACATGGTGTAGAATCCTAGTCGCTCGCACCGGTCTTCAATCGCAAGCCACGTAAACTCGGGATCAGCCAAGTAGCAACGTGTTGGACCCGTTCGATCTTCTTTGCTTCGCCTGGAGTAATCAGAGGATAGGCGGGCAAATCGTATTCTAGCACTGTTCTAATGATGAGGTGAGTAGCAACCACTTTAGACCAAGTGCCAAAACTACTTTTAAACTCTTAAATCTTAACTTCTGACCGAAAATAAGAGTAATTCCATGACACCAGTAAGTAACTGGTCTGGAAGTTTCGTTTATGATTGTGGTGTAGCTGCGAAACATCTGCAGCCAAAACACCGAAAACAGCATTAGTCTTTGCATGTTTGGTATGTCTGGTTTGATTCTGATTTGAGTTGAGTACAGGATGAGCCCGTGGAGGTGTGGGTGTTACACTGAATGTCGCTAATAGTCTATATGTACCGATAAGTAGCTTTGCGGATTTTTCAAGCAGGTTAACTTACAGTTCCTAACCTGGATGATTCTAATGGCATTTGGTATTGAACCGAGAGAAAACTTCTCCCTTTATCACCTGTTGCTCTTTCAGATCATTTGCCGCAATCGTGGGACCTGCGTGGGTTCTGCTGATCAACGCGCATTTCTCTGTGTTTGCGAATACGGCTGGCACGGTAGACTATGTGAGCTTCCAGATGTGAGACACTGGTGAGTTGAAACAGTGGGAACGATGGGACTGTGATGAAGTTGACGATATCTTGACGTTTCTATTGCCGTTCTCCTCGGGAAATAGTTATTGATTTCAGGAAATCATTGTGACCGCTGCGACTATTCTACTTTTGATTCAGTACACTGTTGCGTCTGTACACTCATCTAATGGACATAGAAACTAGGAATAATTTGAACCACTGATTGCCCTGGTTCGATTTTCAGCTGTGAACTGGTTCGCCGAGCTTGAGTAAACAGTCGCATACGTTTCGCCACCATGCGAGGTGGCATGGTCATTGCGGTGATGCGCGATGTGTATGATGGCGAAACGTATGCGGTTAGTTAATCAAGTTCGGTGCACCAATCAACAGCCATACACAGAAACTGTTCAGCTCTGGCGGCAGAAACGCAGAAGAAGAACAGCAGAAGCAGTGTTTAAAGTACTCACCGTACTACTTGGTAATTTTTTTTACAAATACCTGACTTCTTCGCTATGCTTTTGCTGCTCGGTTATTTCTTTCCTGTGGTCAATTCACCCAAGCGTCCCATATGTACCTGTCGAACAATCGTGAACGCTTCATCCTGATTGTGCTTGATTGCAGCGCTAGAGCTTTTATACCGCTTCCTGTAATCGCCTAATGTTTGGAGGTTACTAGATACTTTCGTTGCAATACCATACATTTCTAATGATGAGGAGCTAACTTAAGCATGAGAGATAAAGAGAGGGGAATTGTTGCTGCTCCAAGCATCTAACTTATCTCTGAAAGCGATCACACACTTGTCTACCAAGCCCGTGTGGTATTTGCAGTAAACGCATAGAATTGCACACCTTGCAGACCATATAGAAACTGAGAAGTACCGGTCGTCAGCTTTTGAATAAACGGATGGTGTCCTCCACAATTTTACAAACCTTAACCACAATGGAATACCACTACAATATCTAGACAGTAAGGTTTAAAACCTGTTTGTCGTAACGGAACAGTCGAGTTTGTACATCACGGTGAAGTTAGGTCAGAGGTGACGTCGGATTGATCATCTCAACAGAAACACCGGTCGGGACTCGTTTATGGCCATTGTTACTGCACAAATCGCTGTTTAATAGTAAGCTGACGACACCTATTAAACGCACGGTTTGCGCTGTGAGATTTAAGGGCGGTGAGCCGAACAATTTATACTGAAGCAACCGTGGTTCCTCCTAATTGGTGAAAATGTCAAATAGAAACATATAAGTTAGCGTAGGTGAGTGAACCCGTAATTAGGTACAGATATGGTTCCAAGTGTCTTGCTCGTGCAATTTGCACAAGTTCAGTTACGTACTAAGTGGAGCGTTAAAACAAAGTGTACGGGTGTCAGCTGGGAACCCCATTGTCAGTAACTAAACATAGGTCCTATAATAAAGAGTAATAGGAAACTGTACAATGGGCATTTCGGCAGTTCATTCAGATTCCGGATGTGATCAATAATCTTAGGTGTCCAATCACAAGGCTTACAAATGCGTATAAATAATGTACTACTTATAAAACGAGGGTAGTATAGTTACGCCAATGAATTGGGAATTTGCAAAAGCAGTTACATCTATGAATGAGGACTGTACGTTACCCCAGAGATCGGAGGATGGAGAGACAAATCTCCGTATGGCAAATATTCGGGTAATTGCCCGGATTCCTCCACGAATCCGGACAAACAGGTTGCTGATGCTTCAAGCGCGCCCAGCGGTTTCTACCGCGGTCTGCGTGTTGCCTTTACTAAAGTGTACAGTATGATGAACAAGCGCGATTTGCTGTACGGCTTTGTAAGCTCTCAGCGACCAGACTTATTAGGCCTTGCTGAGGCATGGTTAAACTCCGAGGTAACCGCCCAAGAAGTGGAAATCACCGGCTACTCATGCTTCCGTTGTTTTAGACCATCGAAGAATCCTGGTGGCGTTCTACTTCACGTCAAGTCTTCTTGTATGGGAGACTAGTTAGTGCCTACCAAAGCGCTGATGGTCTATATGAGCAGTTATTGTGTTCGATTCACCTCAGATGCTGTGAGTTGCTCGTGGGCGTGGTATATCGCAGTCCACTGAGTCGCTGTTTGGACTGGTTGCCGCATGTCCGCAACCACATGAGTCGTCCGATGTTCCTACTCATGGGCGATTTCAACTTGCCCCGAATACAGTGGCCTGAGGCTGAACTTCTCCCCGGCCACTATGAAGCCGACGTAGATTATGGAATATATTCGTGTTCTCTGGCTCTGATGAGGACTACAACGATTACAAGGTACAGCGAATTCGCTGCAACAACGCGAAAACAAGCAAACGCAGAAGCTTCGAAGAGGAGCTTGCAATCGCCGCAAAAACTGCTCCCAAGAGGGTCTTCGCATACGTGAAGCGGCGCCTGAGGCCTGCAGCCAATGACCCAGTGCTAGAAGTCGCAGACGGACAGCCCCTAACCTCGAGTACAAATCATGCGTCCGCATTGGCAACGCGTTTCGCCTCTGTATTTGCCAGTGACCAGGTGTCTGTAACGAGTTCGACCAGTACCGCTCCAACCGAACTTAACAGCCTAGACTGCAATATTGAGGATGTACACATGCTTCTAGCAAATCTTGACGTAACGAAGCCCGCTGGGTCAGATGGTATACACCCACTAATCCTCAAGTCCCTATCGGCCATCATCGTGCCTTCTGTAACTGAACTGTTTACATGTCATTATCCACTGGACTGTTACCTGACGACTGGAAATGCTCAGTCGTAAAGCACATACCGAAAGGTGGTAACCCAAGTAAAGTGGATAACTACAGGACGATCCGCCTGACGGCAGTTTTGGCAAAGACGCTCGAGAAGATCGTGAAGAAGAGCCTTCTGCAGCTTCCCGAGTGGAAAAACCTGTTGACCTCCGCACAGCATGGTTTCATGAAAGGTCGCTCGTGCATCGCGAACTAAATGTTGACAAGGCACGAATGGTTACAAGCGCCACCAGGGCACACGAACTAGGGAACATGCTTGGTTAAGTGCGGCAACGCTAAGTAACCTAAGGGTAAAATTCTAGTTCCTTCTAGCTGAACCTCACTGGCAATAACATAAAAACATCGCTGCATCAGGTTCAGCGTCGACTCCGGATGCTCAGTTCTGCAATCTTCTATGGTCCTCCTGAGTGCAAATGACGCGCAGCATGGCGAGGAGGTTGCACCGAAGGGATGGGCCGTCATGCGGAACGCTTTCGGTGATTCGTGCAATCGGCCCTTTGGCCACCACAAGAAACGCAAATAGTCTCTATCTTTCGGTGTCACCATTACCTGGTGAAACATGGCTTCTATATCGGCAGTTACCGCCACTTTGTCCATTCTGAATCTCAGTAAAACGCCAACCAGACTGTTCACTAAGTCGGGACCTTTCAACAATTGTTGGTTTAATGAAGTACCCTGGTAGGTGCTGGCACAGTCAAAAACGACACGGACTTTCCCGGGCTTGTTGGGGTGCGTCACAGCGTGATGTGGCATATACCAAACGCCTTTTTTATCACCAAGCCGTCCTAGGTTTATCATTTCCACAAAACCACTCGACGCGTACTCTTCAACGGCAGCTGTGTACATCTGATGTAACTCTGGGTTGGCAACAAGCCTTTTGCGCAATGACATCAGTCTTCGGTAAGCGACAGGATAGTTGTTTGGAAAATTTGGGCGTGCGCTTTTCCATGGTAAATTGAGTTGATAATGTGAACCACATTTAACGATGGATGACTCCATCTGCTCTAATGCGCGTTTATCTTCAACAGACATTCCGCGTCTTGAGCTACATGGCTCAGTGAATTCCAAATCATACATCCTTTCAAGAAAGCTCGAAGTAGAGTCTTCTACACTGATTGAGTTGGTGTAAATGTTCGTTACGCCTTCCCCCCCCCCCACCGGACCGAGCAGGATCCAACCTAACGGTGTTCGTATGGCAAAGGGGTCTGACGGTTTTCCATACCGATGCTCAAGCACCCAGTGGGCTTCCGGGACATTCATGCCAATAAGCACTCCGACTCCTTCATCACAACCATCGATAAACGGTAGGTCCTTTAAGTGTTCCCAACTGCGCAGGCGTTCTGGCTCCGGTATTATCTTCTGTACCTTAGGCATCCTTTTGACGGCTCACGCATGATCCACATGCAGTGATTTACCTCCTTCCAGCGGTTGCAACTCCACGCGTACAACTTGCGAGCACATCGTTGAATCACCGTTAACCGTTGCTATTTGTACCACTGACGGTTTGGCTGTGAAGTCAAGTCTTTGCAACAGCTGTTCATCGACAAGTGACGAATCAAATCCTGGGTCAAGTAAAGCATTGGTCACCAGTGACTTGGTTCTTCCACGCAGCAGAATTGGAATAATCCCTAAAGCTATTCGACCCCACGACACATTCGTTTCGTTTACCACAGCTCTTGGTGAAGTTAGTTGGTTCGTCTTGGCTTCCTGTAGTAAAGGATGATGTTTCAACTGGCAACCGTTGAATCCGCACGTGACTCGGGATCTGCAAAGCTCAGACGTGTGGTTAACTTTGAGGCACAGTTCACATAGACTCTTTCCAGAAACGAGCAGCAAGCGTGCGGAATGATCAAAGGCTTGGAATCGAGGGCACTGATCAAGGTAATGGTGCGCTGTGCACGCGACACACGAGGGCGCGCGCCCGTGATTCTGCGGCACTGTTCCTCCAGTTGCCAAGGTAGTGATGCGATTGCCACGGCTTTGAGGTCTTTCTGCCGTGTAGGGTCCTTCAGTCCTTCTAATGATTTCATTCGAGTACATAGCCTGAGTAGTAACAGTCTCAGCCACGTCACAAACAAACTGGTACAGGTCTTTAAAGGCGGGCTCTCTACAAGTGCGGAGGATACTGGTAGCTTTCTTTGACCAATCGAGCTGAAGTGAGTAAGGCAGTCGCCTAATCACCGCCGACACCGTCACAGTCGCGTTCAGATCGGCCTCGTAATTTAGTTGTTGCAGCGTATTTAAGCAAGTTTTCATCTGCCCGGCTAATC